GGGGCCAGGGCCATATGCCAGTTATCAGCTGCCTTCAGAGTCAGACATCAGTGAGGCAGACAAACAGCTGGAGCTTGTTCCCGGTGCGCCCATACGCAGAGTTGCCAGACAAAACAGCTAAAGAATAGGGGTCGACTTGGGAGTAAGGCCACAGGTGGACGATGAATGCCCCCTCCCAGAGGAAATAAAAGAGGCGCGAAAGGGGAGTGGAGTTTGCAGGAGACAGTTAGTTCGCTTAATAGGTTCGTGACTCTCCGAGACTCCTACCCAAGTTCTGCAGATATCGGCCTGGCAGCTCTCCAAGACAGATGAGGTCAGTGACTGTAAATCCTCCCTTGAAAGACTTTGTTGGATGTGAATGAGCAGAATTCACTATAAATTAATAAAAGGGTTTTTTGTCGGGACAAGGAGTTTGTTTCATGCTCTTGGGAAGCCTGAGTCAGAACAATAACCAGATCTTCAACCCCTTATGTATCGTAGATGGAAGCAGATGAGCACTTACAAGAGACAGTTTAATAGCTCCCTCCAAGAGCTGTTGTATTTGTCCTGCAACCTAAGAGGGTTGACTTGTGTTCATAACTCTTTGGAAAATCTCCCTTATTTATCAAGCGCCTGCTCTGTTTTTTTCTAAACCCCTCAGGGTTTGATGATCCTCTGTAGACTTGCTTCCCTCTTAACTTTCGGTTTCTTATTTTTGTCTATTTTGGTTTAGGTCTGATGCCGAAGCTGGTCAGAGCCCTCAATATGGGTTTGAACCTTTGCCCCAGAAGATCTGCCTTATCTGTGGTGATGAAGCTTCTGGGTGCCACTATGGCGTCCTCACCTGTGGAAGCTGCAAAGTCTTCTTCAAAAGAGCAATGGAAGGTATTCTTACAGTGTTTTCTTCTGGTTGTCTTAATTTTAAACTGATATTTGTTGGGAGACAATGGTATGCCAACAGCATTTAAGCAAGAGAGAGAGAGAGACTGTGTGTGTCTGGATATATATGTATGTATCTGAGTGGGTGTGGATTTCTAAAAGGAGGTAAAGGAACTCAGGTTTAGCACCACCGACACAGGTGCTGATTGTAGGAAAGAGTAGAAATTGCTTGTGTGGGTGAAGAGGGAGAAGGAGAGGGAAGGGAGGGGGAGGAGAATTTGGAGGGGGAGGGGGGGTTGGAGGTTGTTTTTATAATATGACCCTGGGCATATAACCCATCATGTTCAAGTAGAACAGGGGTCCTCAAACTACAGCCTGGGAGCCAGATATGGCCAGCTGAAGCCATTAATCTAGCCTGCAAGGGACCTCAAGGCTCCCCACTTACATCTCTGGAGCTAAGCAGCCGCCATGAGAAAAAGTTGGCGAAACAGCTCAGTTCAAATTGGATCTGACCAAGAAGGAGGCTCAGTAGAAGCACCTCACTGAGGACTACAAGCAAAGGCTTTCCAAGCAGAGGAAAGGCCTGTAAGAGTGCAAGGCCAGGGACTAGCACCTGGAGGCTCAGTCAGCTGAGATGGTCAGCCAGTTCCAGGCCATGATGCAGTCCCACTGGAACGAGGCCCTCCGGCTCTTTGCCACCAGCGGCACTTCCCTCCAGCCTTCTCCCAAAGCTCTGCAGCAGGGGGCTGAAGGAGACCCCAAGTCAGAATTTCTGCCCCCCCCCTACGACCCACACAAAAAGACCCCGAAGGGGGAGACTCTCTGCAGAAACAAAACCATTCATTGCACGTAGTTTGAGGACGCCTGATTTAGTGCAATATAAAATAGCAATAGCAATAGCAATAGCAGTAGACTTATATACCGCTTCATAGGCCTTTCAGGCCTCTCTAAGCGGTTTACAGAGAGTCAGNTATAGATTTTGACACTTAATGAAATCAGCAATGCTATCTGTGTGGATCAGTGGTTGTGCTCCTTGTCCTTCTTTCAGAATGCATGTAATTTTCCTAAGGGGGCATGGCTTATCGGACAGAGGTGGACACGACCTCTTCTCTTTCTGAGCAAAATCCAGAAATCTCCCAAAAGAGGCTTTTTGCTGGCATAGAAAAAGAACATCGCGGAGTTTTAAAATGCAGAGTTGCCCCAACGTTCCAATATCTCAGGGGCTGCCACAAAGAAGAGGGAGTCAAGCTACTCTCCAAAGCACCTGAGGGTAGAACAGGAAGCAATGGGTGGAAACTAATCAAGGAGAGAAGCAATCCAGAACTGAGAAATTTCCTGACAGTGAGAACAATTAATCAATGGAACAACTTGCCTCCAGAAGTTGTAAATGCTCCAACACTGGAAGATTTTAAGAAGAGTTTGGATAACCATTTGTCTGAAATGATTTACGGTTTCCTGCTTAAGTAGGGGGTTGGACTAGAAGACCTCTAAGATCCTTTCCAACTCTGTTATTCTATTTATCCATACACTTTGCCATTAATGAATCTCATTATAATCACTGACGTTACTGTAAGTGTCAAAAGTTGTTTTTGCTCATTATGAGTCATGCAAGGCAATGGTTAAGTGAGCCATACCTGATTCTATGACCAGTTTTGCCATACAAAAGAATTATTAAGCAAATCGCTTCAGTTGTTAAGCGAATCACCTGGTTGTTGAGTGAATCCAGCTTCCCCCCCCTCAATTGATTTTGCTTCTTAGAAGGCTGGGTAAGTCCCAAGTGGTGATCACGTGACCTCAGGATTCTGCAACCATCCTAAACACAAGCTGGTTGCCAAGCACCCAAATTATGACCTTAGGCCATGGGGATTCTGATCATCTCACAATCAGGAGGTTGTGAGTTTGATCCCAGGTAGTAACAGGTATTTCTCTCTCTGGGCGCAGTGAAGTAAGTATCAGCTGTGAACTCTGAGTTGGCGACAGGAAGGGCATCCGGCAAGTAAACACTGCATTCAGTTGTTCCAATGCCACCCCAGGCAAGGGATTACAGGGTCATTAAAAGACAAAAAAAAACAAAAAACAAAAACCCAACCCATGGGATTCTGTGAGGTATGAGAATTGATTGTAAATAACTGTTTTTTATAGTACTGTTGTAACTTTGAAGGATTGCAAGATGAATGGCTGGGTTCCACCACAAAACCGCGGTAGACAAAAGCGCGGTCGACGAAAGCGCGTATGTGACGTCATCACAGCGCGACGAAAAAGATCGAAAAATGTNAGACTTGCTGCCCCACTTCGAATGGTATGATTGTTGTGCTTTTAACTATGTATGGTTTTTATGTTTTTGTAACTCTGTTTGTATTTCCCCTCCCTCTTTGAGTTGTGAGCCGCCCTGAGTCTCTTTAGGGAAAAGGGCGGCATACAAATAAATTAAACCTAAACCTAAACAACCCAGCTGGGAAAGATAAAGGTAGGTAAAGCGCAGGAGGAGCCGCGTGGGCCCACACGCTAGTGGGAGTGAACCGATTCGCTCCCAGCTGATCTTCGAAGCTACCAGTTCATCTAGTACAGTGTTTCTCAACCTTGGCGACTTTAAGTCCTGTGGACTTCAACTCCCAGAATTCCCCAGCCAGCTCTCGCTGAAGTCCACAGGACTTAAAGTCGCCAAGGTTGAGAAACACTGATCTAGTAGAATCCCACCCCTGGTGTTTACTTAATGGTGGGAAGAAAGATGTTAAAATGGGGCAAAGCTCATGGAACAAATGTTTCACTTAGCAACAGAAATTGTGGGCGCAGTTGTGGTTGCGAGGCTACCTGTACTTGTCTTACCTGATGTTTTTGAAATGAGCATCCAAAACTTTCTTTTCCTCTTCCCCCGTCAACAAGTATGATCGAAAGATAAAAAATTGGAAGGCTTTGCCCTCGGGCCAGTCATTCTCTCCTAGCCCAACTAACCTCAGTTTCACTGTTCTAGAGAAAAGAAGAAGCTGCATTAGGTATGGTTGCTGCCTTGAATTACTTCTTCAAAACGATAAAGGCGGGTCCCAAAGGTGCTTTTTCAAGAGGCAGCTGGACTTTCTGGTTTGGCTTTGAACACGTTTCGCTTCTCATCCAAGAGGCTTTCCTCTTGAAAAAAAGCACCTTTGGGACAACCATGACCTGGATGACTGACAATCTCCATAGACAAATAAAGGCGGGATAATAAATAAACAAACAAACAAATAAACAAACAAATAAATAAATAAATACTGTATTTTTTGGAGTATAAGGCGCACCTTCCCCCCTAAAAGAGTGTGGAAATGTTGGTGCGTCTTATACAACGAATACAGCTATTTTCGGCCTCCCGAAGCCCTGCCCCAGCATCCCATTTTTTGCGAAAAGTTGAGAAAAAAATGGACTTTTTTTTGCAAAAATGGATGTGTTTTTGCCTCTCCCCCAGCCCTGCTGAACCCTGCAGAGTGCTCCTGGAGGCCGGGGAGGACAAAAACTTTTTTTTTCTTACTTACCTCTTCAAAATCTTGGTGTGACTTATACACCGTTGCGTCTTATAGTCCGAAAAATAAGGTGGGTAAATAAATCAACTAACCAAACAAACAAACAAACAACACACACTTTAATGAACTGCAAACTTACTGTTTTTTTTAAAAACCAAAAACAATGCTTATCAGTTTTGAAAGCCAGAAAGTTGGTTGTTTTTCAATAAAACTTCATCAAGATAACCAGGGCTGATTGCATTGCTTGATACACTAAAGTACAGTTAATTAAACTGTAGGCAGGGGTGATGGGTTCCTTATTCTCTATCTCTTATTATTTGGATGAGAGCTCTCACGCGTTTCAAGTGGCTTTGACTTGTATCTTGAACAAGCCATGGTTTTCCACACTCTTGGTCAAACTAGCAACTTCCCAGAATTCTATCCATGGGTCAAGCTGGGTGTGAATTTTTGAAGATCAATCCTAGAAGATCTGGAAGATATCAGCTGGGCAAAAGCTGTTTTTAGCATACCCTTTGATGACTCCGATTATGTTGATATTGATAGTGTACACATACACTATGTAGTATACACTTTGTGTTGTTGGTGTTTTTTTTTTTTGCATTTTTTGACTGCACAAGATTGAAAATGAAGGTGGATCCTTGCTGACTTTGTTCCTTAAGGCTACCTTTTGATTTGTGGCACAATTAAGTGCTGGTCTGCAGCAGCTTAGCTTGTACATTACTTTTAAACAGCTTTCCTCTGGTGCCATTTTTGTGCCCCATAAATACAAGGCAGGTAGGACTGCCTTAATTGCAAGTGTCCAATTTATTTAACGTCAGTATTTTCTTTTTAATAAATGTCGTGCAGTAATGGATAAAGTGTGCCTTTCCCCAAAGAAATGAGCAGCATCAATCCTGCTGTTAATTCTCGGGTCAAAACACAATCATCGGGGTAAGAGAGTGAGGTGAAAGTCATAAAGGAGGTAGAAATGGCTAAGAGTACCAGCTGTCTGAATGAAGGAGCAAATAAATGAATTTAACACATTGGCTACAGAGGAGCTGATAACAGGGAGATTATTTCTCTCCTCAAATTGGAAGACGGTGAAGCTAAATGTCTATGGAGATTCTCAGTCATCCAGGTCATGGTTGTCTCAACGGAAGTTTTTCAAGAGGCAAACAGACTTTCTTGTTTTTCTTTGAAGATGTTTTGCTTCTCATCCATCAATGCTTCTCATCAACTCTGAAGAAGCTTCTTGAATGAGAAGCAAAACTCTTCAAAGACAAACAAGAAAGTCCAATTGCCTCCTGAAAAAGCACTTTTGGGAGAAGGTAAAAGTGAAGGTTCCACTTGCCCATATGTGCTAATCGCTCCTGACTCTAGAGGGGCGGTGCTCATCTCCGTTTCAAAGCAGAAGAGCCAGTGCTGTCCGAAGACGTCTCCGTGGTCATGTGGCCGGCATGACTAAATGCCCAAGGCACACGGAACGCTGTTACCTTCCCACCAAACGTGGTTCCTATTTTTCTACTTGCATTTCTA